CTAAAAGTAACAAATTTAAGTGCCGAGTGAGTCCACAACGGTCAGAGACACACGAATTGTATGAGACTGATCCCTTCTTATAAATTGTTCTCCTACGCCATTATACTGCTGCTGCAACTAGTTGCTTCAGATCCTACAGACAACTACTGTCAAATATTATCATTATACTGCTGCTGCAACTAGTTGCTTCAGATCCTACAGACAACTACTGTCAAATATTATGCAGTACACGCCGCCAGATTCTGCAATTTCGAGCTACTTAATTAAGCACTCGGCTCCTGTGAATATCCTATCGACGCAAATGATAAGCAGCGAGAAAGCACAACACACAGACTGCTTCTCTCCTGAAGTTTTAAAATAAATTATTCATCTGAAAGAAAATTATCTCCATTCTAGCAAAATTCTGACCATCTGGAGCCTCGTTTATTACTTATTAAGAAAGTTAACGAGTCAAGCAAGCTGGGTCTCCAGGCATTTTCCTGCTCTGGAATTGCTTGGTAAGAAACTTTGTTCTTTCATTTTCTCAAATAAATTATGAACCTACCTTCAGCAGCTCACTGCGTCCGGTCCCTCCAAATCCCATATTTGTGCAAACCAGCAGTCTGAAGCGCTGTGAAGCTCTGCTGCTGCTGCTACCACAGTAACGACGATGATTCAAGGGCTTAAATACTCCCTTCTGTTACTTGCATTAACATATTAAAGCAATAAATTATTAAAGCAATAAATTACTAGATCAACATTAAGGGCTGTAAAACGAAAAAAAAAAAAACCTATACACAAGTTGACCTTGGGCTGCCAAACCACAAACTACGCTCCATACTGTGTGAAACCAAATCAGCCCCTTAAAAATGTCATCATGTAGTTTTTACATATTTTTATTTGTCAGCAACAGAAAGCAAAGAAGAAAACAAGAATATACACAAACTATATACACAGGTATTGGACTAGAAACAATTCCAACACAAGTTACAGAAGACTCAAAATTAAATTTAAAACATCACCAAGTAATCTCATGAAAAATTAGCTTCCCGCTCCTCCATTACAGGTTCAGTTGATTCAAATGATGCCACCACAGAGGAACAGCAACGGGAGACCTCTTTTCCTCTTGGATGCCAGGCGCAACACAGGCCAGCTCGCCAGCAGGAGTTCTGTCCTGCAACTGACACTGGGAACAAACTGACTTGATTTCCACCCACATCAGAAACTCATGTCATAAAACCCAATGCAAGTTTAGCCCCCTCTTAGCAGGTCAGCAGAGAAGGCAAGGTGCTGAGAGTGCACCATGTGGGACCATGCCATGCCACTGCCTGACACCATCTACTGACAGCGGGTATGAATTTCAAAGGACTGTCAATCTGGCACCTCTTGGCAGTATTCAATTCAAAGCAAAAATTTTAATAAAGCAATTAATACTAGTTTGACAATATCAAAGTTAGCACAAACACATCGATCTTACTGATACCATATAAAAAAATCTCTAGATTTAATAGGCAAACAAGTTCTCTATGCCAATTTCCAAGATCTTTTAAGGCAACATAATATTGCAATTAAAGCACATGAGCTTTAAATTTTCTCATTTATTCAGAAAGCCACTTCAGTTACACAAACCTTCACTGTTTCAAATTAACGTCAACAGCTTATGTCCTGATCCTGAGAACAGATTCATTTAAGTGGGATTACTCTCATACACTGTTTACTTGTGCAAGTATTTGCAAGATTCAGCCCTGAAGTCGCTAAGCAATTTGTAACTATGTTCCTCAGTTGGGAATAAACTCACCTTGAACTCAGTAATACATTGTTCTGTCATGTGCCATCATATTTTCTTAAGTTCTGCAAAACCATGTTTATATATATTAATTCACAGGCAGGTGAGAATGTCAAGAAGAAGAGATGAGGGGTTCTTAGAAGCCACAGCATCTATAATGGCAACCAAGGAAACATGCACAGAAACTGAACACCACACAGCTGGAGGTGGTAATCCTCAAGAGATAAATACTAACAATAAACAGTTAGGTTGTCTTCTACAAAGTTGTTTGTGTCAGTCAAGACCACTGGGCACTTTGCAGCACCTAACACATAAGCATCTGGAGGGGGGAAAATGTCTCCCATGTCAATGAGGTCAAGATTTCACCCCAACTACTAAGTTTGGGTGGAGGTGAACAGGACATTGCGCTACACTAAAAAAAAGACCCACTCTTGCTGACTTTTTGGAGAAAGCGAGCAGCTGTTTCAAAGCAAGTTCTACATGTCACTGAGGACAAAGAAAAGTATGTTATCCAGTTGAAGCAGCGTGTAGCTTACATTGTCAAGTAGCAGCTTGAATTTTCCAAGAACACTGTAATTAATACCCATATTCTGTAATCACGTGTCCAGGGACCTGCTTTAAACACTGCCCAAGAGGTAGCACAAACTGCAGCAGGACAAAGACTTCCTCAGTACTATCCTAGGCGATCACAGTCAAGCACAGAGGCCAAGACTGTGCCTTTGAGTTGTGAAAGCAACATTTCAGTATCTTCTGAGTATTTCTCATCAAGTGCTGACTCTGAAAGACCCCTTTTTAGCTTCAGAACAAAGCCTAGAAAAGCAGGGAGCACAAACATGTATATGATTTGGAAAGACTTCAGTATCTATTAATATTAAACTAGGCAGGGGATTAATAGATTACATTCAAAGGCACATACACCAGAAAAACGCACACTGGACCAAAAAGTTAAACTATTTGTTACACTACGACACATAGAACCTGTTTGTAAATTCTCAGGAAGAATCGAGGAGCAAACATCCCTTGCTCAGTTTGTTTCTGTTAATCACTAAACACAACAGATATGAAGTATTTTCACTGAAAACATTTTTTTCTATTTCTCTGTCCTGTAACTCAAGACAAGCAGGTTGCAATAACATTAGCAGGCCATACGTCTAAAATCCATAAAAAAGAATTACACTTTTATATCATCAGAAAGTTTGGAATTAACAGCCCCAAGATATTGAAACAAATAGTTATAACAGACTCCAGTCAAAGGCAGAAGTAACTTAAAGAAGATCAGTATCTGTAGTTAAACTAGCCACACTAAAAACCCACCCACCCTCATTTTTCAGGCATACCCACTAAAAAACTCTCTTCTAATAGAAGGTCTGCTGCTGTGGTTTCCTCAGACTGTTTTCAGACTAATACCCCATGTAGAAACACGGCATGAGGACAATGAATGAAGGACAATTTACGGCGTACCTGGGATCTCCACTAAAGCACAGGCTGCCTAGACAAGGTTGGAGAGGAGAAAAGTTGCTTCTTGCTCATATTCACCGTAATGCCCACGAACAGACCTTGGGAAATGGGCAGAAAATGCATTCCTTGTGCTCTACGTTCCTGCTCTGAGCTGTTCATACCCGCTCAGGGTTCTTGGAAACAGGTGCCATTTCAGGGGACTCCAGTATTCACACGCTAGAGCACTTCAGTCCTGCAAGCCAGCCAGTTGTTTTTGGGAATAAAGAAGTGAAATGACCAATACATCATAACATCCTCCACCGTATCTTCAGCTTTCACTCACGGGATTCCACAGTTTATATTCACTTCACGAAAACAAGTTCAACATGCCTGCATCCCTTCTTTTCTTTCTGTTCCTTCTCCTCTTCATGTACAAGGAGGCAGCCAAAAAGAAGCACCAGGTCAGGATTTACGACTTCAAAATACGATTTCTAACAAAAGCTGAAACTCCGCTTCTTACACAAACTATCCTCTTCCTTGGAATGCTTTACGTAATGTTCTAGGAAAAACTGACCACACACAACTGGGAAAATATTAGTGTTGTCACAAATTTCTGTTTTTAAGCAAGCCCTCCTCTGCGATTACTGGAAAACATACAAAACTTGAAATTAATTTAAAACACAGTAAGAAGTTATGGCCAAGGGCAGAAGTTAAGTGACTAAATTTCAGTAGATGTGACTTCCAGCTGGTGTTTCAGTCAAACTATCACTCTGATTTCACCCCAGCAGCACAGCTGTATCACTCGAACAGCAATTTGCCTCCTCTGCAGCAGCGCCTGCAGTCGGGGGAAATTACTGCTCTGGAGGCCGCACGCGTTACACCCTCACCGTGCTGCGGGCAGACCCCCTGCCCAGGGTCAAACACGCCCGGGTTGGAACAGGAGGAGAGGGGGACAGAAGAAGACGGCCCCACCACACGCCCCCCCCTCCAGGCTGCGGGCAGCAGGTGTTCCGAGGGGCACCGCTCACCGGGCAGCACGTCAGCCAGCCTCCAGCAGCCGTCCTGGTGCCTCCCCCTCTGAGCAGCGTGACAACCACCGGCCGCTCCAGCGTGACCTCGCTGTACAGCGCGGAGCGGCCCACAGAACCTCAAGCCCTACAAACTCACGAGCTATTCACATACAAATCCTTGAACCGACTGCGACAGACGAGAGGAAGGGTTTGCCGGGTAAGGGCTCCAACTCTGCAGAAATGGGGCTAGATGAAGCTTATTGCTCAAAGCACTTTGTAACCCTTCGATGAAATGTGCTATGTAAGTGCAAAGTACTATCATTAAGTCACGCTAAGATTTTTTAAAAAAATATCTAGGAATTTCTCAGCATTTCCCTGTTTACCTAACAGACCAGTTCTTTATAAAAATAAATATTGGGAGGACAAAAGGGACAGTTCTCTTCCCAATTTTAGTAAACAAGTTTCATTTTTCCATGCTAAAATCTGCAATATCTTTCAAAAAAATATCAAAACACCTAAGAGAAACTGAGGGTGCATCAGAGTTGCTTACAACTCACCTACTTTATTCCCGTGGCTAGGATATCACCAAAACTTCTAAACCTCACAAATTTTCCTGAAAGGCCACAGTATCAGAAACAGTATTTGGCAAAGACTTGATGAAGAACAGTTTCCTAACACTCAGCAGTAACCCTCAGAATAAATTTAAGTGGAAAATACTTAGCTTTTTTCTCTTTGATACCCCCCCCTTAATTCAGGTACAGCTATGTTTTGTCCCTCCCATTTCTACAATATTTCCAGTTTCATGTATTTAGACCAAAGACACTTTCCAAAAGCTCGTGTACAACATCTTTATATACACTACAAATTCAAATTACCAGACTATAGTCAGACATTGAATATATAAATAACTTTGCAAACTATTTACAGGTTTTAAACTAATCAGGTTCCAAGCAACCAACACTCTTTAAGGCAAATTCATTTGTATGACTGGCTGTCTGACCTTCCAGCATTTCGCTCCCCTCCCCAACCCCCTAGAAATGATAGGCAATAAACACGAAACTGAATTACCTCTTGCCCCTGTATTGATAGAATTTCTTGTATGGAGAAATGATCTAGCTACTTATGATCTTTCCTCAAAACAAGGAAAAATGTGTAGAAATGCATTTCTGTGTTTGCGTGTCAAGAAAATCATTAAGGTGCATACCAAGAAGTGGAAATCCCAGTGTCTCATAACAACATAATTTTTGTATGCACTTGACAAATGGATTTGGGAATATGGGGAAAAGCATCAGTTTAAAGCTGCACAACCCTTTTAAGTACTTATGCATTGATAAGCTCATCAGATAAATACACAATCTGAAGAGCTCAAAGGGATTTTCTGTAAGAGGTGACACTGTGCAATATAAAATGCTGCAAAGAGTGGATTTTCAAAGCATGTGTTTAACTACATTAGAATTTTTCTCTTACACCGTATTGCTGTGCAAGATACTGTTCACCATTTAAACGGATTCTGCACATCTTGCCAATCCTTATATTGGAATAAAAACTGGCCATTTCAAATAGTATCTTTTTGTTACAACACTGTATTCTTAAGTGCAGTCACAGTGCAATCCCTTTTGTCAATGCATGACTGAAGCAACCAAGCACGTTCTGGTGAAGTAGATAGGACTCACCAAACGTGCTTAGTGCCTTCCTTTAAGTCCCAATCATCACTTTGTTCTTACTATTTTTCAATGCCCTGATTAGGTCTTTGTTTGGAAGTAATTAGCTATTGTGGTTTGAAGGATTTTGGAACAAAGCAGAGACTTTATACTGAATGCAGAGGTCATCTCCAACAGAGACAAAAGGTGGCAAATTATCGATTAGCTTTATATTTAGAAGCATCCCTTGGTTCACTGCTAGGATTGCTCCAGTCATCTGCTTCAGGTGTCGTCTTGTAGTGTCGCCATGCTGACTTATTAAAAACGGGAAGTCTTTCAAATGATTCACTTGAAAGGGCCTACAGAAAAACAAAAGCAGAGGTAAGATATCAGCAGAGACGCCAAGAGCAAGATGATACTCTGGGGAGTGCTACTGTTACTACTTCTGTAGCGAACAAGTGTCTCAATTTTGCAAGTGTTACATGTCACAACACTATTCTGAAAATACTCTGGCTCTGACTAATTGTTCTAGTCCTAGTCAAAGTACTAGTCATAGTAAAAGTTCAAAGAAAATAATAACACTTTAAAATATTCCCCTTTTTTCCAGGGAGTGGTGTCTACAAAGATAGCAAGAAAAAAAAAAAAAACCCACAAGAAAACTTGTGGTCAAAAACACTTCAAGGAGATTTGTCATTGACACTGGGCAGAGAGCTACTTTACTTAAACATTTCACTTCAACAAGCTCAGACTCTGTCAGCACACCGATCTGTGAGGACTGATCGAGTTCAGTCCATCAGCATGCCTTTCACCTCTGAAAAAGACTAACTTTTTCTTCCATAGATACATGCACAGGATTAAACCCATTAGAAACTAGAGTTAGCACAACTCACCCACTACATATGGCAAGGCACAGTGACAAGGCTAAGTCAACGACCTGCACATCAGCTGTACACTATATTCTTTTAAATTCCCTGACGAAATTCAAGCAGTTAGTTTCAACCTTCAGCCCCGGAGTAGCCTGGGATCTCCCAAAAATGACAACGGGATCAATGCAGTCTATTGCATAAAAGCCAAGAACGGCATAGAAAAAAAAAAAGTACCAGTCAGGAGTGAGTCAGTAGTCTTCTCAGTGTTCTTCTGATCAAAACTTTCAGAATCAAAAAGTATTAACAAAAATTATCTCTCATCACACAGTTCTTTGAAAATTCAGCACTTGCGATGGATTAACAAAATGCAAAAGATCCAAAACAGGGGATGGCAGGGCAGCGAGAAAAATCAAAGCAAGCTCACTAGTATTAGTGCCAGGTTAACATTTGTAACCTCTGCTTTTAAGATTCTGCGTAACTGATTTAGGTAGAATACAATGAAAATATCAATTACAGATTTGAAAACAAGTTGAAGAGTGAAAAGACAGAAAGTTCAATTGTTCAGCCTGCTATAAACTATCACATATCACATATCCTAGCTTATAAAAGGGTCAAATTCATACCTTCAAATAAATTACAGCATCTGAGCCAACGCCTTCCATTGAGTAGAGTTTAAGGTCACCTTGAAAGTACCTAGCATACAGACGAGAAATTGGCAAGCCATAGCCAAAGCCAGCCTAAAAATGAAGTACAAGACAAAATTAATTAAAACAGAAGATACATAAATATTAGATTTGCATCAAATTACTCTTCAAGCTTTCCTTTATTACTCAGCCTGCACTGTAAACTGGTATTCAACCTTTTGAACAATCTCCTTTTTTCCAAGGCATAATTTTTTAGCTTAAGTACAGAAAAGGGGAAAATACCAGAGTCCTTTGTCAGAACTACCTTGTTCATTCTGCATTTTCTCAGACAGGCTGGTAGGTGTAACATACAGTACGTGCTGCCTCCAATCATGAAAGCAAACCGATACCCCCAAGCCTGGGATTATTGTTCTCAAATGTCTCCACAGTTAGGAGACCACACAAGAAAGCCAGAGGCAACTCTGTTCACTTCATCTAGGTTACGCTATTAAGTGATCGGTGATGCCATACTGCAACGGAGACCACAAGACTACTGCAGAAGACTACATACAAAGCCAGACAAGGGAAACAGTCCTCACTGTTGTTTATCCATCTAAAAAAAGATCAGGATTCCACAGCACTGAATGAGGCTACTAAGGACTGAGACCCTGCACAGACCACACAATTTTCAAAGCACATACTTGACAAGTACAAATTTTAGATATTAAATTTACAACACAAATATTCATAATCCTATCTGCAACACCTGGCACCTTTTCCAACCCACTCTTGTCAGAAAAAGTTATAAAAAACCCCAAGCCTCTCTCACTGCGGCTAGGCAGTAAGATTTTGGTCTAACACATTGTCTCTTTCAGAGGACTGGGTATGTGCTGAGAATCACAGTTCACCTGACCCTCCCTTGAATTTTTTGAGACTATCTGGAGTGATAAATCATTCCAGACATACAAGCATTTGACAATAAGGATATATAAGGCAATGGAGTAATAAAAATTTTCCATAAGGGTGGATTACAAGAAGAATTAGACACCTGAAGTTTTCAGAAAACCAATGAACACATGCCACTATAATATGTCTACAAAGGCAACCTGACAGATACTGAGAATCATGCCCTGAATCTTAAAAACAAACGAGACGAGAGAAGGGTAAGAAGCAGGACTTGCCAGTGTAATACACAGCTAATATGTGGTATCACTTTAAGAAATCCCTTGAGGAAGGGGTGAACATTAAAGAACTTTGTACTACAGTATCCATCACAAATTCTCTTGCCATCATCCACTATCTCTACAGTATCTTTTGACCTCTTCACCTTGTTTTTCCAGAAGTCTAAATTTAGTGGTCTTAAACTCATTAAGAGTTGCTCACACTGATGACTGTAACAGTTCTGAGCAAAACGAGAAGCAAAAATGCCAAAGATGTCCTTTTCTACTGACACCGTTTGTCATGCTTATTAGTGTCCATTTCCACAGTTAAAACAGTTGCTTAGCTGCACTTCTTCAAACAACAGTATGCTTTAAAAGTATAATCCTCAAAGTCTCCCATGAGACACATGCAACACTTTTAAACATCTGGTCTTGAAACTAGGTGCATTTCTTTCTGAATCTCTAAAAACTGGAAGTTATTTGAAAGAACAAAAAAAAATTCCCAAAGCTGACCTGCATCTTTTCTGGAGACCGGACAAGAAATACACTACAGAAATTAAAAAGCACAGCAGCTGAAAGGCAAATTGTAGATCACACATACTGCCAGGAACAGCTCAAGTAAAGGGCAGTATCAAGCAATCCTGAAGACATATTATACTTTCCTCTCTCCAGAATTATGCCTCCTTAAAACCCATGCCCAACTTCCGTTTGCCTCCTGCTCCTTCCAGGAAAATCTTTTCACGCTCTGTGCTAGCCCACACAATTATTTCATACTTCCCTCTTCCAAAAGTTTCTTGTCAGTCCCTTGTCTGCATTGTTTTCAGGGCATTTTCCAAAAATAGACAGCTTAAAAGAAATATGAAGACAACGATCCTAGATGAGTACCTTGTTAAGGCAAGACCTTGCAAAAGGTCTGTTTCACAAAAGACAATTAACAAGTCTGTGCTTGACCTAGAGGACAGAATACGGTCAATGACTGCACATCTGCCTTGAGAAAAGAAAGCGTTTTGGAGCCACTTTCTCATTAAATACTAAAGTATGCATTATACAAATACGAAATTATTACATTTCTGTATTACTAGTGTCTCCAGGTTTAATCAAACCTAATTTAAGCCACTTTTCTCCTGCTATAAAGAAATGCTGCCAGACAAAGAATCATTAAATTCTCTAAGAAAACCGAATTCTCATTAAACATAACATGTGTTTCTAGTGCTTCCACTACGTGTACAGCAGTACAGACAAGCACAAGACCTGCTAGAATCCAAATGCTGCCATGGTAACAAGGTTTCTCAGCAGTTTTTAAAGAACATTTACAATGACACTGAAAGAATTTTCACCAATCAACAAAAAGATCCCTCTCTTCCACTCCCCAAGTCCATGAATGTTTCATAAACTAGACGGGATCCCATAAAAAGGGGAGGGAGAGTCAGGACAGAAAAACATGTCTATTTCCACTGCGCTGCAATTCAGTTCACGAATATTGCCTAAGTCAAGAATGACATGAGCGCAGACCTACCTACCTTCTGGAGCACTGTAACTCTTAAGTGGTTTGGTCTTTGGCACTCAGCAACAAAGAAATTTGCCTTCTGTATGGACTTCAAAGAGAATTTATGCAGAACCCTTCTGCTGAAGGATTTTTATTTCTAGACTGACACACAAAGTGAAGCATAATTGTTTTTATAACTGGATCTGGGCCATAATACAGAGTGTGTCAAGCTTCACTGCTAAAGTCCTTTTTCTTCGTAGTGGAAAGATATGCCACAAACTCTCAGTTCTTGACTTTTTTTCTTTCTGCATACACATATCAGTAACAGAGCTTAGCAACTCTTCTCAACATTCAGTCACGTACAGGCATCAGACTCGCAGGGCAAAGCTGCCAGGTTCAGAAGAGAGGGGGATACTTTGCAGGTCTGACTACAGTGACATACAGACTGAAGAGTAAAACAAAGCCTGAAAACAGGGTACAGTAGCAGAAACTAAGTATACATGCCACAGAATCAAAGTAAGCAGTCTTGAAGATGAGGAAATAAACACAGAAATGCATTGCTAAAGAGGCATGGGGCAGAGTGGAAGAGAATAAAAGCAATCCTAAGCTGAACACATTCTACAATCAGAGAGCCACAAAGGAAGAGACATTTTAATAGTGAATACAACTGGTAATCAAGGTATAAGTTTATAGTAAGAACAAGTTTCAGGAAATCTTTGTAGGCTGATACAGTAAATTGCTGATCAAAAGTGAGACAGAACAAAGGCAGATTACGAATCAAGAAAGATTCTACCATTCTTCACAAAGAAAAAAAGCTTATATTTAAATTAAGGCCTGCTCCCTATCACTTATCCCATTCAAGAAGATTTTCTAAGAAAAAGCCACACCATTGTTTGAAATGTATTGCTAAGATGTGTTGCAGAGTTAGGAGCCGTGAAGAATTAATATCAAATCAACGCAGATACAGAACTGGGTTTCACACCTACCGCAGTGGCATCAAACACTGGTGAAAACAATCCAATACACTCCCGTGCCACAATGCTGTGAACTGTGGACTAAGGCAGTACCACAAAGACTTTCTGCTAAAAATCTAAAAGGAAATTTATTATCTCTGAACTGGTTCCATCCTCAGCTCACTGCCAATTATTTTATATCAGAAATAGTCACATATTGTCTGCACCACATTTTATTAGCTGCCGGAAGGCACTTCAAGCACAGAAATATCAGCAGGAGGAAAAAGAAGAAAAAAAATCACGTAAGAACATGCTAGACAAGAGTGTTCCTAAATAGGGAAAATAAATTTCTCAAAGAATCAACTTTTTCTCCACATGCTTGAACATTAAGGACCACATAAAAAGCAACAGAGAACAAAGATGACACGAGGCAAGAATACAGTATTAGTATTAATCCACTTACCAAAAGCCAGTCAAATGGAAAAGCAGCTGTAGAATTTTAATCACAATGACCCAATATGTAATTTAATAAAATGGTTTAATGATAATAATTTAATTTTAATAATAATTTTAAAGTTCATGCTTGCTAAAAGAATATATTCATTCAACACTAAAATAATTCCCTGCTTAGAAGAAACTATGGGGAAATTCTGTTTGTCAGAAATCTGACCCTGATACATCTCAGAAGGAAATATCACGGGAGATATTTCCAATTTCCAACTGAACAGGAATATACGAAATGTGTTCCTATCACATGGGGCTTTGGCAATTTTTTTTGAAGTGTTTTCACAGTCCCTAACTTCTATAAAAATAATTTTCAAAGTTCAATTTAAGCTTGTGCGTTACCAGGACGGGTTTTTCTCAAGTGCTATAATTCTGACAGTGTGCCTCACCTTTTCAATACATTTACTATAGGAAACTTATATAAAAATGAATTTACACAGCAAGCAGAAGCTCATTAGGTTATGCACCTTCCCAGTAATACAGCACTAAAAATCCTGTCTGTTAACCTGTGAAAATATTGTGCTTATGTAGACATGCTTGTTTCCAAGAATATGTCAAGACAAAGAAAAGCAATTTTCTATTCCAAAGACTAAGTGACGATAAGAGAACCCATTTTCTCCTGATACTTTTTACCTGCATAGAATTGCTAACGATAAACAATTTCTTCAATGGAAAACCTGATCCAATGGATTATAGTGAAGGGAAACGTACAACTAGAGTAGTGCAAAGGGACATTTAAATACATATTGCAACTGCTTACCAAAGGCACAGCTCTTGAGGGCTCCAAACTAGGCCTGGGCGCTGTTGAGTACATGTAGTTAAACAATCTGTCTATTTTTCTTAAAGGTACACCTCCGCCTTGATCACTTATCTAAGGAATGAAAAGTTAAAGAGTTTTAAACATTATGTTCTGAAAAAAACCTGCAAAACTCAAGCACCACTATCTAAATGATTTTAGAAATATTAAAAGGAGCTGTAAGGACTCTGGGTTTGCCTAGTTTGGAAAGGAGGCGGCTGAGGGGTGACCTATTTGCTCCCTACAGCTTCCTGAGGAGGGGAAGGGGAGAGGGAGGTGCTGAGCTCTTCTCCCTGGGATCCAGTGACAGGGTACGTGGGAATGGCTCAAAGCTCCATCAGAAAAGGTTCAGACTTGGTATTAAGAAGCATTTCTTTACTGAGAGGGTGGTCAAGCACTGGAACAGGTTTCCTAGTGAGGTGGCCAGTGCCCCAAGCCCATCCGTGTTTAAGAGGCATTTGGACAAAGCCCTTAATAATGTGCTTAGACTTTTGGTAAGCCCTGAAGTGGTCAGGCAGTTGGACCAGACAATCGTTGTTGTTCCCTTCCAACTGAAAATATTCTGTTCTAACGAGTATGAAGCAAGTGTCAGAAGTGATACAGTTATTAATTCGCCTTTTCAAATTGCAAGTCATACTATTCTAAACCTAGCAGGTTTGTAAGCTGCATGTTATTTTTAGGCATTTACCTTAATAGATAGATCTTCTTTCCCCAAAGTGACTAAGGTTTTGATCGATGGATAGCCTTCTTTCTTACCTTCATACAGTTCCACTGTAGCTCTCATTGAATTCTGAAGATAAAAGAACAAACAGTCTTTGACTCTAACGTTACAGTCTTTGACTCTAACGTTACCATATATGCTTTTTGTGACAACTTAAAGCTTGCATTTATTTTGCTGAATATAGACACTTTGTCCTACATCTGTATACAAGACAGAAAAGGTCATATTTAAAATAAATTCAAGAAGTGCTTCAAGTCCGTGAATTGTCCAGTTGAACTTTTACATCAGAACGATTAAACATACTTTTATCTATTTGATATAGAGTCAGAGAACATAAAGCAAGAAATTTGTTTTTCTGTGTGAAATCAAGTAGTTCTATATAAAGGATAACAGCATCCTTCATCTCGCAGAACACCTATAGTGATGTTCACCACAGAGAACAAGCTTTGATTTTCTGAGCCAGGGTCACGTATGTTAAGTTACCACCTATCAATCTATCATATCTATTAACAGCGTTTCCACTGCCAGTCCATCACAGACTGCTATTACTTATGGATACAACGTACTGGTTCCGTACCGTTTCATGACTTGTACCAAAACATACCTACAAGCAGTGTACAAATTCTCACCTGTTCTGCCCTAGAACTAATGTTACAAATGGCAAAATAGGGAAAAGATTTAAATGAATATACTTCACAAATGTCACAAATCAAACCCAAAATACTATTATTTAGGAAAAGTTTCTCTCTGAACAAATGCATTTTTTCCCCCGAATTTCTAGTGTTCAATTGCACCACCTAGAGACCACCTCTCTTACTTGAAAGCATACAATAGCTCTCAAATGTTCCACTTGTTCCACTTCCACGGTTGTTCTCATTATTCAGAAAACACAAATAAAAACAAAGCATGTCATTTACACTATTCAGACATATGTGCTGTTTTCACAATAAACAAAAGACACTGATCCTAAACAGTCTTCAAACAGGCAATAAACAAGCAATCTTCTGAAAATTGCAAGGTAATGAATATATCATCATTGCAAAAATAGACTATCATGGGTGTTTTAAGTTAATCAGTTGCAAAACCACAAAAGAAGAAGTGGGAAAACACAGAAATTATTTTTAAGTACACAAGGGCATAAGAGAGGGCTGTAAGCCTAGCTTTTAACAGCTTCAAAACCCCTTCACTTAAGAATAAGCTTAAAGGAAAACTGAAATAACATTTAAGAGCTGTAGCTGAAAAGAATCTCAACTTCAACAGTAACGTAAGTTCACAAAGCTGTTCCAAACATTAAGAAGTGCAACCTACCTTGAATAATTCAAATAACATATGAAACAAATGAGAAGGTACATAGACTACTTGAATAGGCTTGTTTGGAGCTTTAGCTAAAAAAATAAAAATAAAAGACTTTAAGAACAGTATTTTGTAGCATTTCTATTTACAAGAATAACATGAAACTGTAGGTAACAAGCATGTAAGTGTGTTCCAATTTTCCAAGGGCAAGATTAGCTCCATGAAGTAAAGACTTAAATTTCAGTTACTACTATCACCTGATATAACATGTTCTAATGATGATTTTCAAAGACATCTGTCAGCAGACTGTTTAGATATGAAACTTCACTAAGCATTGGTTGATTTAGTACTGACAATGTATGTTAACTAAGAGAACTTTCCCACCAAAGTGGGAAACTTTCTTTTTCTTAACACACACAATATTTAAGCATAATATTTGCTGCACAAAGAGATTCTTTAAAAAAAAAATCACTGCTTAAATATTCTAAAAACAACTAGATATTTTCCCCTTAATTAAAACATATAATATGCAAAGCATACAGAAAAATTTTCAAAATGTATTTCAAACAATATCACAGATTTCTTATTCCAAAGCATAACTGAATTGTTTGCCCACTGTTGTCCTGTTATTAGTGTTTTGGAAGAGGTGTATGGCTTTGCATAGCTCTGAACGCTAGAGTGCTAACTGATTTGGCAGGAAGTAATACAGCTGCATTTAATACATTCCAGGACAGTTTTGGTGCTGAAGATGCAGTTACATCTGAACATTCAAATATCTACTGGCATTAAATTATACAGTCATAGCTTGGCAGACTCAGCAGCAGTTCAGACTGAAGAAAAGTCTCTCAAATGCCTGCTTCATAAACTGCAGGAAGATATAAACATACAGAACATGACTGGAGTCAACTTCATCTTTTTTTGGTACTGAGAGCTGATAACAATACCAGTTATTACTTTCAGAGACACAGCAGTGAACACTCCTAGGAACAGAATAGGCCAAAACAATGCTCTGCATAATCAGTTGCAAGGTAACTCACTGTTTTATCATGTTAATTTTGTCAGAGTCCATACTCCCAATTCTCTTATGCATCACCAAAACCAAGGCAGACTGATTCGTACTCATGTGAGGCACAGAGTACACGTAGAAAACCTGTTATTGTTGCTCTTGTGAGGTAATTTGCAAAGTCAGTTTAAAGGAAAGAAGTAATTCTTTCCTCACTGCCTTTTTTTTTGTTTTTTTTTTTAATGAGATCCACGAACTTGTCTTCTCTACTGCGGGATCTTTTACTTAGGCCATCAAATGAATTTGCATTGATTCCTCTGCTGCAGCACTCTTTTACCTCTAAAATTATTCAGTTTTGGAGGGGGGACTGTTGGGTCCTTTGATTTTGGGAGAGGGGGCTAGCAGTAATGCATCAGTGTCAATAATATCACTGTGTAGAGAAATATTTCTACAATATTAAATAGTACTTTGAGCAACATATGTTCCCATATATCACACTCTCCATTTTGAGTGTTACCCGTTCTTGAGACTTTCGTAATTCTTCTGCTGAAGTTTGGGAACACCTCAGTCTGATGTTTGGACAGCTGTCCAAGATTTGTAAGAGGATCACTGACAATTTATTTTAACTTAAAAAAAATAAAAAAATAAAAAAAAAAATCTAACTTTTGTCAATAGAAATGAACAAAAATCAGTCAATACACTGACAAGGACTGTCTTGTCAGTTTTGTAGCACCCAGTTTTCACCCTTGCAATCAATTTGAAACAGATTTTCATGTGAGAAGTTTATGATAGGACTTAAAGCATAGACTATGTAAAAAAAGTTTCTAATTTTGCTGTCTTAGAAGAGCTCACCACTGATGTAGGGACTGACTGTGGAATTTACAAGCATTTTTCAAAACTAAACAAATTTCAGCTCTATTAAAAGATTAGTTAGAAGGCAGGCACGTTTCATTCCCAAGTATAAGGATTCCTGACCACTTTAATTCTCCTTAAAGTGACAGCGAATTCAGCAGACAGCACTCTGCATTCAGCATCAAGAAGTAAACAAACATGTCATGACAAACTGTAATTCAGATGCCCATGTAGATACATTAGAAGAAAAGTAATTCTGCATACAGGACTGCAGAGTTCAAATTATAACTTGCAATTAATTAACAAAACTAGAAATCACAGATATCAGAAATGTTTTTTCTTACACACATCACGGAAATTAATTTCACAATTACCATTGAATTCTTCAACTTCCAGATCAGGTGCCACCTGATAGTACTGTTCACATAACATCTTAGCTGTTTCATAAGCATCTACAAAACAACAGAACACTTCTTTATCAAAATCACCCAGAGATGACTAGCAAAGTTCAGCCTATATGTGAAAGACTACAAGCAGAATACTCATCTTAGTATCCAGTTTACAAGCATGAAGCTGGTATCCATTCTAATCCCTTTTTCTCTGTAGGCTTATAGCCCATTTGTCAAAAAAGGGCAAATTCTATTTAAAGCTCTACAAACAAAAGCAGATTACTAGTGACAAGTTATTTTTCGCCTTTGTTCAGGGCTTGAAAACCAGAAGGGTATAATCTGAGGCTGACCAGAGTATCTACTTATTTGTCATGTCCCAATCGCAATTTAATACTTGTTCTTTCCATCTCAAACAAAAAAGGATGATATCGCAACCATAAATTCAGGTTTTCCAAAATTTATACTGTTTACAATACTTGATTTTCTTTTGGAGGGGAAGCTGGAATCTCTGGAATCTTTAAGATTCTTCACTCTTTCCTACTGAATCAAAAAAAAAAAAAAAGCCTCCACATAATTCAAATCAGGCTTTATGTATTGACAAAATACAGGTATGAAAGTTTAAGTCATCTTTTGTTTGAAAGATTTCTTAGTGGTGCTAAATATTCACTGGTACCTCATTTGCAAAAATGTTTTAGAAACAAGCAGCAAGCGTCAGCTTAAAGAGAAACCACAAACTCAAAGATGTTCTAACTACATTGCTTAAGCTACCTTAACAGCAGTGCCTTCCTTGTAACAAGCGTGGACTAAGAGCAAGCGTATAAACAGATGGGCAGCTCTGCAGACAGAGAGAAATTTGCTAAGATACCGTAACAATTGCATCTGACCTCGCCCTAGATATGTATCTTCTTCCTCCTGCCCAAAGTGACACTACAAAACAAAACAGTCACTGCCAAGGCTCAGAGCTATGTGACAAACACAAAGAAAGTAAAACCACTAGTCTCCAGAAAGGGCCAGTTACCTACAACAGTTCTCCTTCAAGATGTCTACAGAAATAATGTGCCCTGTTCTCTGGAAAAAAAAAAAAATTATCAGTTGTTCTGACATCTCCAGGGCTGAACATATCACACAAGGCTGACACAAATGCTGCTTGAGGTCTAGTAACATGGAGCTAATCAACACTGGAAGTGTTCTTGACCAAGTCCCGGGAATGTCTCACAAACCAGCTATCCAGTAGGAAATTCTTGCATCAAGACGGTCAGCTCCAAAGACTTTCTAAAAGGATGATGTCATTAACACAATAAAATGTGCCCTAGTAAAAAGATCGAAATCCCATTTAATATCAAAGCTGTACCGAAAACCTCAGCCTGGGATGTGCATACATTTAGGAAAAAAAGATGCAGGAATACCTACACTTAGCACAATATTTTAAGATCATCTCAGAACTTCTGATGGCCTTGGGAGTAATCCTGTGCTTTAGGAAAAAAGGGCATAAGCAGCACAGCCACAATCTTGACACAGTAATCAAAAGCTGAAGATAGCAATATATCTAATATGACCATGGGGCCATCTACATGGAGAAAGGAATATGTTAGCACATTTCAAAGAGTTTCCATATAGAAATGAAAATTAGATATGGATCCAGGAGGCAAGATTTGGATTCTTATTGCAGAGAAAAAGTTCAAGGCCTCTGAAAAGCTTATCAATACCTATATGGGAATAAACCAAAAGCCCTCAATACAGCAATGTGGAGCAGACACAGCTGCTATGCAAACCTTGAGAGACCAACGAAGTGACTATCACTTCATGATCCAGTAATATATCCAGTCCCGAGAAAAACTGTCAAACAGAGCCTGAGTGTGGTCTTACATTTTAACTTCTTCTGAAAGCCAACTCTTTGGCAGAGTCCTAAGACTGTAAAAGAGACTGCCAAGGTCAAAGCACTCATCCTGTCGTGGCTGGAGGTAAGTAGCAACAAGAGTGCAGATCTATCAGTACCTCTAAAATCCCGGCTCCAGCAACAAACCCAGATTTGCTGTCAGCTCAAAAATCTTACTACAGGACAGTCAGTGAGATAGAGACCCATCTCAGGCAATTACAGACACAACACTTGGCGGAGCTGCTTGAAGTAAAAAGTGACTGTTAAATCATTTCATCTAATTTTTGAAGGGCATATAGAGCTTGTAGCTGCCACATACAATGCCAAAATCAACACCTTAACTCTGACAAATTGCTCATAATGCCACCTGTGAACCAGAACATTCTGGAGCTAGCACAGTATGCAGAACATAAATTAAACCCCTCCACCAATTCTACAAGGAAATAGCCTCAATCACCTTGACACTAGAGAGACTCTGTCTTCAAGGGCATTTCGTTTCTTTGAAAGACAACACTGGATACTGTTTATGATGCCCCTGTTTTGTTAGTGATTATTTCTTCAGATGTGCAAGATCTATTTTAGCTACTGGCTTGAAAACTGGACTGAGCACCTTCTGACACCATGCACTCCTCTGTCCAAGGCAGCAACTATGAATTCGATGATCAAAATAGATTCAAACATTGTTATTAGAAGGAATATCTAAATAAACAACACAACTGTAACATACATAATGCTGAGGTGAAAGTGGATTAAGATCAATCAAAGAAAAGCAAGCTGCTGAAAAGAAGGCCGCCTTAAAGCCAAAAAAAGCTAGAAGCCAAGAAGACTTCATAACAGTAAAAAGCATCTACATTACAACGCAAGCTATGATGCAGGTCCAAGTCTGACATGAGAAAGGCTTCCCTCTTACTTCACCAAAGGCTGAGAGAAAGTTAAGGGGAGAAACATATTCTTCCCCTCTTGCAGCTGCACAAACAGCAGTGAAGGATGGTGGGTGGAATTCAATTCTACAGCAAGACTTGTAGTTGTAAATAGATACACCCAAAGTGTGAACCTTCAACAAACAAGTTCTTGAAGCAGACAGCATTGCCTCATGCCTGCTCAGGAACATTCTGAAAGCACATGAACATTCACAACGATAAGCAAACAGCATTTATTAAGCAAACCGGATTTCTAATGCAACTGTGCCAGATCACTCAGGTATAACCACCACATACATGTCTTCTGTATGAGAGAACAGGCTGTGATATGACCAGATGCATATAGTAATGGGGAGTTTCACTGCAATATCTGTACACCTGCGGATATTTTAGTGCAACGCCTAACTAAAAAAATTGGAAAACTTCATTTACTCTCAATTTTCTTTAGTACCAGATAAAAAAGCAGTACCTGAGAAACTGCTTCTAAGTATTTTAGGGGGAAGAAAAAAATCTAAAGTTTAACAAATCACTTACATATTTAGCCTAGTATTCCAAATGACAAATTAAAGATATTTTTAAAAAATCATTTGTCTTCTTAGTTCTGTTAATATACCAAAGCTTTCCTCCATTCTCAATAATGAAGACATTAGAAAGTCTCAATAAGCCCATGGCTTTATTGTGAGCAACCGCAGAACTTCCATTTTTTCTTTTTTTATTTTATTAAATGAATTCAAATCATCTTCAGTCTTTTGTATTTCAATAACATATTTAAGCATATTCTAGGTTGTGGGGTTTTCTTGAAATCAACAAAAATATTAACTTCATCTTACCTTTAACCACCTCCGCCACATCACAATTAGGATCAATACTTCCAATATGTTTGGGATGAGCAGGATTAATATCTCCACCAAAAAGAAGTGCTGAAAGGAAAAAGAAATGGCAGTAAATTGTCTATTACACTTGAGGCAGTCCAGAAAGTTGAAATCTGATGGTATATGAAACCTACTGGATAGTGCATCATTTTGTAAAAAGATACTTTAGCAAATTGCCAGAATCCTTGTTTAGTAAGACTACTTGCCCCCTCCTCCTCTTTTTTTTATTTTCATTTTTAATAGCTAAGACTAGTTAATACAGAAATAGTGGTGTGGGAGGGCTAAGGTGAGAACTTACATTTCAAAGTGGACTACCAAAAATGAGGTAAGACTAAATTGTAAAATGCTTCATTCATACCATTATGTCAGAACAGCAGCACGCATAACAGTGAAAATGTTATAGTAAAAAGGACTGAGGAACTGTAAGACAGCATTAAAAGCTTTTTTACGCTCACCTCAGCTGCAATTTCACAGCTGGCACAGAGGTCTCACTCACTGGACTTTCTCCCTGACTCTCAGCAGTATGCTCCCCACTCCCTCCTTTGCACAAGAGTCCAGCACTCACCAGCTCCTTCACTGAGAGTTTAGCTCTCAAAGCGGAAAGGTTTTACATTTTTTTTGCCGAAGTGAATTTCTGCCATTTTAGCAAGCTAGTCAGCTCTGATATGAAACATATGCAGTACGAAATGAGCAAAAGACAAGGTCTGAACGCTTTTCCTGTTCTGGTCCTGGTGAGCTAACACACTGGCGCACTGCACCTTGCAGCACTGCACTGTAAGAAACAGCCTGTCAATAATGTACGAAACAAACACAAACTACGTAAAAACCTGTTTCTGCATTCTGCTTTCCAACTGTCTTTTTCATCAGTGCTTGGAGATCAGTATTCACCATCATGGATAGATCACTAACACCAGTTTGAGTAGTGAAATTGTACAAAGTTAACTAAACTTTAAGCATCTATCAGCTATTGTAAGTTTCAACCAGTTAAGTAAGAACGTCCATAGGAAAAGCCATTTCAGTTCAATGAAATAAGTTTAATATTTTAGAATTAGTGCAAGTTATGCTAACACCTGTCCCAAGAATTCTAGTAGGATGATGTTTTTACTTATTGCTAGAACTCTTCTACCTTAACTTGGTTTTATGTCTGTCATTTTGCCCACGTTCAAGTAAAGAGTAAACAGCACATTTACTTTGTATGCTTTGCCACATGGAAATTATTTGTGTACACACAGCAAGGCATTTGCTGGTCACATAAAAGGTTACTAGAAAGACACGCAACTTGTAGTACAAGTACAACCTTACACTACGTGACTCCAGCATCCACGTTATCTGTAGTGCACTACAATTTCTAAGAACTTGTAGAAAGCAGAATACTGGGCAGAGAATGAAGCTCTAGAGCTAAAAGCTAAGAGATACACTAAAGAGATCACAAGATTGTACTTAACTTTATACAGATCACTCTCTGCATGGTTGCACATACTGGTTAACAGGAGCTGTGCAAGTAACTCCTTTCATTCCAATACGAATATAAAAAAAGTAAGCTTATTAGTAACAACAAATGAAACAGCACCTACTGACAAAGGGTGACTAATGCTAGTATTTATTCATAAATAGGGAACAGGAAGTGAAGGGAGGCAAGGCATTTAATGTAAAACTTACATTAGAAATACTCAACCTCTTTAGGAGGCAAGACAGTCTAGATAACGTGCTAGAAATCAATAATAAAAATACATATCGTGCATAACCTATTCAAAATGTATGGCATACTTGTATTTCATTATGAAATAAATGTCAGCTCTACAAACTATGTTGAGAGATTTGTGAGAAGAAAGATAAGCTACTCTACTATCTAAAAATACTTCATGTATCACTACAGAAGCTGCCTCTGCCAACAAGACTGAAAAGTGACAGCCTCACTGACACAGGCTGACAATTCTAGAAGAAAGTGTACTGGTGTTTTGGATTCATTTCTGATAACTGAAGTACCAAATCAACCAGTTGCCAGTGTATCTTTTAGCATAATTAGCACAGATTATTAAGAATTAGCCATGAGTATGGGGAAAAAAAACCACAACAAAAACAAAGCTACGGCTGTAGGTTTACAGGCAATAACAAATGAGTTCTCAAAGAGGAAAAAAGCAATTACTTACTGTGTTGGTTAATAAGCATACGGAAAGAGATGCGGTTGGTGTAGAATCTATCTAGAAAATACTGGATGTTACTGCTAACAAACGGATCGAAGCCATATTTTTCCTTGTATTCAATCACCCCTTGCGCCATGGTTGGAACCACATCATTGTGTCTGTTCCTGACTTTAATTAAAACATCTAAAAAGCTAGAGGGAACAAAAGTAGAAACAGACTGTTAAAAGTATAATGAAACTCAATCTCTCACTTCTGTTTTCCACTCCCCACAGCATAATCATTTTATCTGTCTACTGTCCCTCCCAGCCAACAAAAAAAATTATCAGAATTGGAAGATAAAAATATAGCAGTAGCTAAGTAAACTTATTTAAAGCCAAATACTTGGTCAACGTCTCACTCACGAGTTCTGTGAAACATTTAGGGCCTCAAACGAAGTTATTCCTCCTCAAAACATCCCTTTAAATTAAATCTCTTTGCCGTTAACAGAGAACAAAAGATTTTCTTTTATTGCAATCCTACACACCACTCACTCACTGCAACCAACAGCTGGGAGATGGGAAAGCAAACTCAGGAAAACACACCTGACTGCCATTCTTACTTTTCTGAGAAGTTTTACACTCCATACTTTCTTCCCAACATCTCAACCCGTGCAGTGTAACTTTTGAATGCTCTTCCGTCACCTGGCATCTGCTCTGGTAAGTCTGAGTATCAGGACAGGTCACTGTTACCAGTGTGACTTGGGTTCACTCTCCCTTCGCACCGCTGGATGGCAGAGCGCATACAACGGCGCTCTGACGGGCTCTGCCCTGCGCTCACTGGGCAAGTTTCAGGGTATCGCTGCCATCGCTTTTAACAAGCACCTGTTAGCAAGCGCTTACTTGGAAACAGCTTGGAGGAGTTTTCTTTCTCCTGCCAAGGTAGCTCAACACCTATGATCTTCAAAGTGCTCATCCTTTTCTCCCCCTTCGCCCCTGCATGCAAACTCACACATACTTGAAAAGTTAATTAACTTTGCAAAGCCTAGATACGGAAAATCAGTACTACTCAACTCTGTTACATTCTCTAATATTAAATGAATGTTAACACCACAATGATCTTGTCTTAAAAAGTGCACACAGTGAAATGCAGCTTTCAGAAGAAAGCACAGCTGGGAGACTCGTTCAGCTATGCCTGTATCTGCAAATCTACAGATTCTTTTAAAAAAAAAGAAACACACATGAACTGGAAAACATTCTCAGTAGATTTATAATGAACACAGAAAAGAGATGTATCAATTATTTTTATCAAAAGTAGCATACACACCAACTAAGGAAAGAACATTAAGACCACCAAAAGTAAAAAAGACTACCAGTTAGTCACCACATTTAAAACAGACGCTTCCTTTCCCTTCATCATCACTTAGCCAAGACAATCATTTGATAGTATGCCATACCATTCCTAACAAGCAACAAGATTTTAAAATTATTTCTCCCACTCTACACTGCCGGCTCCAGAGGAATGTAGGACTCATTTTTAATAGTTTTTTTTCATCATCCTCAGTCTAACCACCAGTTTTAGCCTGTGAGTTAACAAACAGGTCAGTAGTCTTTCAAGACTATTTTGTTGCATAGAAAAGGGGAAGTTTTGACTGCCCAGTTCCCCGATCTAAACACTCCCACAGTACAGAATGACTCTCCTCTTACTTACCGATCTTGCTGACTGGACAGCTTAAAAATATTTTAATGCTTAAAAGGTTTGTAGACTCATTTTATGTTTAATAAGTCTTGATTCTGTGTGATCTGTAACCACCAAGATCTGATGTTAGTTTTCGAGACAAAACTAGCGCCCAGCTGTACCCACGCTGCTTCTCTGTTTCAGAGCAACAAGACACTGGCTAAAAACAGAGCTGAGAAGCAACACATACAATCACATCTGAAAGACACCTGACAACACTCTGCTAACTGCTATTTGCCAACAGCTTTGCTATGTGCTTTTAAATACCTCCACGATCCACAAAACATACAACATGCCTACACGCTCCACGAGGGCAAATTGTTCACTGTCATCCTGCTACCACAGCGCTTAAACGCAGAGCCTGACCCAGGGCAAACAAAGGGCTAGGAGGTTTACCTGCTACAGACAGCAAATCATAGCTGAAGTTTAATGTGCAAATACACAGAACAAAGGAATTCTTCATTATTACAGTGACATGACAAGCTTACCGCTCCATCTTCAAAGGTAACTGAGTTCACTCAAGTGTTTCCATCAAGCAGATGCTTTTAAAGGACCAAACACACGAAGTACATAGTCATGCTTTAAAGCAGCAGGGCAAAAATTAAAACACATTTCCTTAATCTTATCACTTATTCCTTACAAAATGCTCCTCACTCCCCCACCGGAAAGACACAAAGCTTTTACCGTATGCCAAGTGTGGGAGACCACGTCAAAGAATTTTGAAAATGCTCATGGGATCAGCTAGGGAGGGAATACTCCAAAACAGCTCTGAACATTTTATTTCGCAATGACTTTTTTTTCAACATGCAGTGTACTGTATTTTCAAAGCCACAATGAATAAATAATGCAGTTGGTTTGACAGATAAGAAATTATTAATACGAAGCTATTTTAGTCAAGTAAGCTTCAGTGGCTTCCGCATTAACAGAGGAAAACTTAAGGCATTTCCATTGCTATTAAATAAATTAAGCCTATAGACTTCTGCAAAGACAATTAACAAATGTCACAACACAAATTATTATTTAACACCCTAATGACTGTATATATTATTCTGTTTTGATCTATCATCATAGAGTAAGAAAAAAAGTCAATATAAAGACAAAGGGAATTTCTGCTATGTCTATTTCATGGATAGTATTATCTGAAAGATTGAAGACAAGAAAATGACAAGTAGACTGAAAAAAAAAAATCCTTTTAAATGGAACAGACATGCAATGGGTTTTTTTTGATTGGCTGCTCTTTTTTAAAGAAGTGCTAGCTGGTAGCTGAAAATCACCAGAAAGACAAGTTCATACTCTGAACGATTTCTCTACTAGAAAGTGTAGCACTTTCAAAATGCAAAACTAACTGAAAAACAACTTCAAATTACTTGGAAGTAACAAAATGGCACCTTCCTAATCAAATCTACTCCAATATTTACTTATTTCAAATTGCTACCAGAATCACTATTTCAATCTCCGTGCTGCAGAAAGGAAAGTCACTTCTTGTCTACTAAGTTTCTTGTGTGTGTTTTATCTCTAGACATACTGGCAGCTTACTACTTCACTTGCTCTCAGCTCCACAACACCCTCCACACACTCTCCCATGAGAGCGCCACAAGGAGAAAATCATCAAACTCACGGGTACAGGTAGTGGAGTAAGTGCTCTTTGAAACACCACATTACACAAACTCTTCAGTTTTTGAAAAACAACCTCTGCCTCTGTGTGTTTACCCAGATGCCTATTGACACCACAGGAAATATCCAACATGTCTGCTAGCTTCCAGCCTCTACCAAGCGTGGACACCTTAACACTCCTGCAATCACGCTGTTTGACAGCACTGTGGAAAGACTTCCACCTGACCACCCTGCAGCTTGAGGAAAGATATTTGAGTTATCAAAATGCAAAAGTAACCTGACCTTTTGACATATACCCGTACTACTGACAGCAACAGTCATCTGGCAACGTTGTAGCAAGTCTTCATAAGGTCTGCTAACCAACAGAATGTACAAGAAACTGAAGCACCTCTGAACCTCATCACCACAGAAATACTGAGACAAAAAACCTTTCAAAGGATTTTGTCTGGTATAACTAAAAAGGTAACACTCATGAATATACATCCATCCTCAAATTTATACACTAAGAGCAGGGATAAGTTGGGTCACTCTGACAAGCATCAGCATTAGTTTAGTCTCTGTACCTAACTCCTAACTGTTCACTCCCCATATTGCACCGGCTCTGCTTTGTTAGCCAAGCAGTTTAGGAACCACAGGGCTGAAAGTGGGCTATTTTTCCACTAGATCTATTTCCCAGTTCACTCTACTGCATGACTTCAGACAGCTGTGCCAGTACATGAATAACATCTATAATCACAGAATCACAGAATGCTTTGGGTTGGAAGGGACCTTTAGAGGTCTTCTAGCCCAACACCCCTGCACTGAGCAGGGACATCTTCAACTAGGCCAGGTTGCTCAGAGCCCAAACCAACCTGGCCTTGAATGTTTCCAGGGATGGGGCCTCCACTATGTCTCCGAGCAACCTGTGCCAGTGTTTCACCACCCTCATTGTAACAAGTTTCTTCCTTAGATCTAGTCTAAATCTGCCCTCCCTTAGTTTAAAGCCATTGCTCCCAGCCTGTGTTGATAGTGGGGGCTGCCCCGACCCAGACGCAGGACCTTGCACTTGGCCTTGTTGAACCTCGTGAGCTTCACACAGGCCCACTTCTTGAGCTTGTCCAGGTCCCTCTGGATGGCATCCCATCCTTCTGGCATGTCAGCTGCACCACTCAGCTTGGTGTCGTCTGCAAACTTGCTGAGGGTGCACTCGATCTCACTATCTATTGTCATTGATGAAAATGTTAAACAGCACTAGTCCCAGTACGGACCCCTGAAGGACACCACTTGTCACCAGTGTCCATTTGGACATTGACCCATTGACCACTACCCTCTGGCTGCGACCTTCCAACCAGTTCCTCATCCACTGAACAGATCACTGATTAAATCCATATTTCTCCAATTTAGAGAGAAGGATGTTGTGGGGGACCGTGTCAAAGGCTTTACAGTCCAGATAGATCACATCCATAGCTTTTCCCTTGTCCACTGATCTAGTCACACCATCATAGAAAGCCACTAGGTTGGTCAGGCAGGACTTGCCCTTGGTGAAGCCACGCTGGCTGCCTCGAATCACCTCCCTGTCCTCCACGTGCCTTAGCACGGCTTCTAGGAGGACCTGTTCCATGATCTTCCCAGGCACAGAGGTGAGGCTGACAGGTTGGTAGTTCCCAGCGTTCTCCTTCCTACCCTTTTTAAAAATGGGCACAACGTTTCCCTTCCTCCAGTCACCAGGGACTTCGCATGAATGTTGGTGGTTTTTTTCCCCCACTGAAAAGTAGTTCATTAACTACTGGAGTTCCTGATATTTCTCCTCTGACCACAAGGCATAAAAGTAGGATAGCGCTAGACAGCAGCAGCATGGAACACTGATACAGGAGTTGACAAGTTTGTTAGATTTATCTGCTGGGTTACTAACAAGATAAATATGGATGTAGTTAAGAGTATTTTTGAAAGACGCAGTCTGCCAAGAATATTAAAATAATAGCTAATTGCAGCTCAATAGCCAGTTAAATGGCATAGCCTTCAGAAAGTTAGGAACAGATGTCATGCAAAGAGAAGGAAAGTAAATACGATTTTCTAATCTAAGATAGCCTATCCAATACTGTCAAGAGGAATAAATTATACCTTTAACCAGATAATGCAGCTTTCGTCTCCTTTCACAGGCCAAACTTAGTACAAAAGACAACTCTTACTGTCAAAGTCCCTGAAGTTTGGTTCATTATCAAACATTTGGTATAACATACCAACAAAGGGCATCTCAAACAAAGAAACAAACAATGAAACAAAGTCAAGAATGCCTGTTATCCATATGACAGAATCAGATAATTCATCTGATAATTATGAAGTCTACAAATGTATCTCAAAAAATCGTTAATCGTTAATCATTTTTAAATATATACATAGAGAGTGATCTACCTTGAATGTCTGAAGTCCATAAAAAGCTGAAATTCAGTTACTTAAATACAGAACATTTAAGATGGTACCAGAAGCTACACAACCACCTTGTTTCCACCTGCACATACAGGACGTTATAGGCTTAACAGGACCTTGGTTACACTTGCCAGGCTCACTTAGATGTCTAGGTCAGCTTATGCCATCTCAAAAGGCAACAGACACCTAGATTTTGGTAACTTCATCCCTCTCAAAATGTTCTTTTAAGTCAAGCAGTAAGAAAACTTACTGCTAAGCAAGTCACAAACAGAAATTCTTGTCACATCAGCTAACAGGCTGTAAATACAGAATCACAAAATTTAACAGCTAAAGGTAGTCAAAAAGTTCATCTTATCCACGACAGAACAAGCATGCCTAGAACATCACTGAAAGCTATCTAACCTATTGTTAAAAGCTTTTAAAATGGGATACTCTACAGCCTTCTGAAACAGTCTTTTTCAGTCTCTTCTCACTAATATTAGAATATGTACTTTTTGTCCTGTACACAATCTCCACTTCAATAAAAATCAGCCATTTTTTAATGCTCCAGTTCTTCACTTAGAACAACCAACCATCCTTTATTACAGTGACTTTTCTTTTGGCACAGACTGCCAGCGTCTCACACTCCAATCTCTTTTTTACCAGTCTAAACAAATGCCTTCAACATTATTCAGAAGTGGAACTCTCCCAAGTCTCTAATTCTTGTTCCTTTCACATCAATACTGTCCATATGTGTTTTAGTTTATTAATAGGTAGTACCCAGACCTGAAGACAGTATTCCAGCTTAGGGCTCGCACTGAGAAAATAGTTACTTTCCCCTTGTTCAATAGCACTACAATTCACTCAGTCTATAATCCTTATGGCTCCTTCTACAGTTCTACCACACAGCGAGTTTAGTACTTGTGTACTTGAGTTTCTCCTGCATGTATTGCTTGACACTTAAAAAATAAAGTGTTAAGATCTCAGAAAACATGCCCACAACCAAAAGAGCATAACATCTAAAATGCATTACCTAATAAAACCCTTACTTAGCCTATCATAGCAGTTAACGTATCTAAAAATAACTACAGACAAAACATTTTTGTGAAGCACACGCCACATCTTGCACAGAGCATTTGTTGGACTGCAAGATGTTTTTATGCAACACTTCCTATAAAGCATTGCTTGATCAGGCAAGATTTCCAGAGCTTAAAAAGAAATTCAAGTTTAAAAGACAAGCTACCCTAAGAAAACTAATTAACTGAACAAAAAACCTGAAAGAAGTAGTCTCCTGAAAGAAGGTTTTTTGCTTTTAAGCCTCTGATGCAAATGTTGCACTTCTTGTTCTCACTCACATCTTGGGTTTTTTCCTGTTTTATCCACACAAATTTCAAGGAAACATTCCAGTGACAATTTTAATATGATTTTCTTGATAAAGAAAATTGGCTAAGCTTTCCTTTCTTCTCCAAACATAAGTAATATTTTTATCCAATGAGGTAGGTGAACACCAATAACTGAAGTACATTAAAAAGCTTTTAAATAAAAACAGTGATTGACACACTGAATGTTTTCAAAATGAAAAAAATTCAAACTATTAATGTGTTAATATACATTATACAGAGTACTAAGCTCAATATATACTAAAATGACATTTTAGTCTTAAGTATTTGATATGCAAATATATTCTCACATGCATGTTGTTTTCTCAACACAGCCTTGAAGGAAGCATTTCATGCTACTCCTGAAACTATCAGACTGTATAAATACAAAATATATTCTTCAAAAGCACTTAGATTTCTGTATTTGGTCCAGATTATAATTTTGGTCTTTACTACACAAATTCTACCTTACAAATTAGATCACTGTTATCCTATAGTACAAACACACTTGTTTTTTGAGACAGATTATTTTAAAATGAATCGTGTCAATAAAACAAATTACTCACTCATCCAGAACGTGAGGATCCTCAGGACTTTTATTTTCATATTCTAAAAGCTCAAGGAAACTCTGCATGTACCTGAAACAAGCAAAAATTAAAAAGAATGAGTTAGAATACTGAAATCTAAATTACTTTTGAATTTTGTTTAATCTTAAGACTACAACCTTATCTGAAACAACAGAAGCATTGTACAACTGTTCTCTGCAAAGGCTAAAATAAAGTGGGACGCTGCAACAAAGGGCAAGAATGCAATTACAGTACATTATACTGAGTTAAAAAGAATTATTTATGACCCTACAGTCCATGACTCAGGAAAACTGCTATATAAATCAAGCTGAAGTTAACAGGAGCAAACCTGCTCTTCAGGTAGGTCTATAACTTCAGGTAACTTAGTTCATCCCTGGATCCTCCATATTAATGGAGGCTTAGAGCCACAGAGGTACTGCACTGGACCCAAAGAAGATTTAAGGCAAAGTTCACTATAACCATGGCCAGCCTTCTCTGTAGGAAACCAGCCCAACACTAGCACAAATGTCACCACCTCACACCACTCAGCCTGAGCACCAAGTACCATCCCCTGAAGCAGGTGCATTTAGCAGGTTAGATGTAGCTTTAAGGATTACAGAAGTGAGACCTATTTCTTTAAGTAAATCACGCAAGATATCAACCACACACATAAAAGGTAGGGTTTCAGCATTATCAGGAGTTGTTGTTCCTCTCCCTTTTGCCCTCCCTTTGCTCCTGGTTAAGCACTGCCACTTGCACTATGATAACATCAATGCTAACCACACTGTGCACTGTCACAAGCACCCTCCACGCTGTAAACTGTTTCTCACATTACATACAGGGCCAAATGCCATAGGTGTCAGCAGGTTTGCCAACAACCAGCCCTCTACTCTTTACCCTCCCCTCCCCCATCCTTTCAAACCCTCCTCCTCATTTGAAATCCTTTATCTTCATACTTTAATTTCTGTTGCCATCCTTCTTGCTTTGTGGAGGCTTTTATTTTTAAAAATTTATTTATTTTTTTTTTATGGCCTCAGGTTGTGTCAGGTGAGGTTTAGATTGGATATTAGTAAAGATTTCTTTCCTGAAAGTGGTCAGGCATTGGAACAGGCTGGCCAGGGGAGTGGTGGGGGGACCACGCCACGCGTGGCACTTTGGGACATGGCTTATTAGGCATGGTGGTGTTGGGTTGATGGTTGGACTTGATGAACTTAGAGGTCTTTTCCAACCTTAATGATTCCATGTTTTATTTTCCTTGCTCTCTCTTTGTTCTTCCCCATGCCCTCAGTTCACGCTTCTACACCCATTTTCATACTGGCAGCAGGAGCCCTCTTGAAATCACCTAGTCCAATCTCCCTGCTCAAGCAGGGTCAGCTAGAGCAGGCTGTCCAGGACCGTGTCCAGTTGGGTTTTGAACATCTCCACAGCCTTTCTGTGGAACCTTCTTGTTTTGTTTGATCACCCATACTGTAAAAAGAGTTTTTTCTTTTGTTCAGATGGAATTTAATGTGCTTTAGTTTGTATTCATTGCCTCCTGTCCTGTCACTAAGCACTACTGAAGAAGTCTGGCTCCCTCATCTTCATACTCTCCTGTTAGATATTTATACACAATGATGATAATTGCCCCTCGGCCACCCAAGCCGCCTCGTCCTCTTCAGGTTGAACAGTCCAGACAGCTTGCTGAATGTCTCTAAGGAAATACTCAGCTCTCAGCTTCTTCCCATATGAAAGATACTTCGATAAAGCTATGTCATTAAAGAAATGACAGCTTTTTTGTGGCAAAGTAAGATGAGGTTATTAGGAAGCTGCTCACCCTCATCTGTCATCATGCAATATTATGAAAGTCCTGTTTCTGAAGATCCAGGACAACAGCCACACTTGAGAAGCAACACAGCAGGTGCTTTTTAGTACAGACCTCGTACCAGAAATCTCAAACACCAGCAATCCTGTGCTGGTGCTGAGGATAAAACAGCAATGAGTAATTTCTGGTACTGATACCTGGCAGCTGATACCCAATTATTGTGCTGTATGGATTTGATCAGTTTGCCTACCACTACTGGTATGCTGTATTGAGATTTGTACTCTCTGTTAGCTTATTGGGACACTGATCCCAAGACTGACTGCTGCCCCTGGAATTACCAAACATCTCCACGCCTGTGTTGAGGGATCAGCACTTTTACTATAGCATCAGGCATGGGCAATCCGTGTGTTTCTCTCATCTAATGCAGGAAGTAATTGTGCAGAAAACTGTCTCAGTCAGAAAAAGACTAAAGCCGGTCTCAACCAGGAGAAAGCTGCCAGACAGAGTCACCGGTCTTCAGCACAACCAGCAGGTGGAACAGCTTCCAAGGTCACTATGCTGCAGGCTCAACATAGCACCAATGAGGAACTGAGAGTTTTTGAAACAGAGGAAAATTACACAAACTAAATGCTCTAAACTCAGGAAATTTATGAATGTGCTAAAGTAATTTCTCTTTCATCTCTATGGTGATGAAGAAACTATGGAAACAGGCAATGCTTGTCCTTTAGATAGAACTGGCTACAATATTTAGATGACTCTTTCTGATTCTAAAGTAAATTGAGATTACTTTAGAAGTCAAGTTCATTAGCACAAGCACTGTATCCAGCAAGTTACAGTGACTGCCACATAGAATAGGTTACTAATTTCAAATCTAAGTTCTTTCATCACTTTTACTATTTCTTCCAATTCCTTGACTAAATAAAGCTAGAAAAAAGTAACCTTAAGTCAAGCAAATCTAACCCACTGTCCAATGCCTACCACTATACATCACCCAGCCTGGGATGTTGTAACATCCTATATATTAGGCCACATCTGCACCTAACAACTCAGAGCTGCAAATGCTGTACATCATCTTTTATCCAGTTGTGATGTACAGTTTTTACACAAAATTCATCCCCCCGCTCCCTCTCAAATAGCTCAGAATTAAATAAAGTAAAAAAAATTGTTCAAAAGGAAATGTGTAACTGATTAATTGTAATAAATAATTCACAACATTGTCTTAGCTACCACCAACAGTACATCTGTCTAAAGGTGAGCAGTCAGCAATGGAGTTCACTCCAATAACAGCTAGTGTGTGTAAAAAGTCATTCCCCTTTCATACAATCATCTGTTTCCTTGAATTTTCTTTTGATTTGAACTGTGGGTGCAGATATGGATAAATGAAGGTGGTAACTACAGGATTTATCAAGCACTGAAAAGCAAGACCTTGTGGTGTTTTAAATACACTTCACACATAATTACCAACCAGCCAGAATAAAGGAGAAAAGTACAAGAATAATGGATGATTTGCTATATCATTAGTAAATGAATACAACTATACAGGACACAGATTACAAAAAAAACCCACCCAGCACAGACAAAAAAAAAAAAAAAAAAACCCCCCCAGCAAAAAAAAAAAAAAAAAAAAAAGACAATGTCAGTTATATCTTGGTATCTTCAGTGAGTCATCAAAAGCAGAAATCAAAGCCTATGACCTTCAAACCTGTTTTCTTACTGGTGTTTAATTTTTATTACAATACACTACAATTCCTTGGGCAAGCTCTTTGGTTTCAAGCACCCTTTAGCCTTGTCTTTTTGTTAATTACTGCCAGGTAGATTGAATTCTTGACAGTCTGCCAAATTCTAGAATGGCACATTTCATACATGAAATGACTGCAGATACCATGATGTCAACTCCAGATTCTTTTTTTTTTTTAAAACTCATGCAAGATACCTTTGCTTTTTCCCCATGGGTATTACACTAAGATTTTCCTTTAGAATCTCTGTAAGACCAAAGCACTGAACAGGTAAAACATATCTCCATGGCAACACAATCTTGTTAGCACAGTCTGAATGTAAAAAAATTAGAGGTAAAAAAATTATTAATCCCCAAACTGTATTGATTTATCTAATTGGTCTTTCCAAGGAAAAAAAAGGAAATTTATAGCCTTTTCCAGGGAAAAGTACTAAAGAAAAGTAGAGAAATTTTGTCAGGGTTAATAAAAATGTGAATTTTAGATAGAACTGAGTAGCATATTGTGCAACCCTCGCACTCACTTTAGATATTTCACAAGCTCTGACCTTATCCATTATAAGGTTTCATTGTAACTATTTTCCCTTATCACATCATACTAATGATGATATCTGTTATTATGCAACTCTGCCACATGTTCAATAACTACCTGCAGTGCACTTTAGCTACAGAGTGCCCTCTGAAAGCTGGCCTAAAAAAGGCCCACTTCTTCGGAAGTAGGAAATTGCCCACTAATTTTGAAAAACTGAAAATAAGTTGCTGATCCCTAGCACACTGGTTGTTGATCTGTCTGTTATTTGGAATCACTGCAGTCCACAGCCAGAACATATTAACTGTATTATAATTTTGATTCACTTTATTCCCTCCCTTGCTACTTCATGCAAAATATACACATAAACTAAATTATAAACTCAAACTGGGACCAAGCTATGTTTTACCTTTGCACAGACTGAAATGTAAAACTTTTTGTTTTGTTCATAGCTTACTCTGTGGATAGTGCCAGCTTTATTCAGAAAAGCATAGCCGAGTAGCACAAATGCAGGACAGCTGTCTTGCCTGTTCTCACTGCTGCAGGCATCAGGCTAAGGAACCCAGAAAGCAAGGAGAAAAAAATGCACCTTTCCTGAGAGCAATTGGGCAAACGGTTGTAAAATCTGTTCGGCAGTGCAGTGCAGTCAAGGAGCATGGTACAGGAAACGAAGGGCCTACAGCATGACCATGAAGATGGATTAGAGAACCAAGAGGAGAACAGGGCTTGCCTGTAGCAGGGAGCATATTCTCAGAAGTGGCAATATGAGGTTGCTTCCCAAGGGACCTATAAGGACCAGGAAATTCATGCAATCCAGAATGTCGCTGCCTGGCTAGACAGAGGATTGATGGGAAAGGATCCATGCTGTACAGTGGGCAGGGTTAATTTGTTTTCTTACTCCACCAAACCTAAGCTCCATCTACATACAGAGCCAACTTACTCTAATTTAGAAGTTTAACAAAACCTCCTTTGAATATTAGGAGCTTTTTGTATTTTCTGGCATGCTGACGTCAAGGAACAGACTGGGAACTCAAATTGCAAAGCTCCAACTAACTTGGAGTCTCACCAAAAGCACATAAAAACATAGACTTCTAGTGCAACGTGGCAGCGTAAATATATCATAAATATGCTGGTGACTACATAAATTACTGAAAATTAGCAAAGAAACTGATTAAGGTGAATAATGCATTAAATTATGTCTTTGCTCACTTGTGGCAAACGTACATCAGATTTTTTGTTTGCACATTAATAAGTTGTCAAGCTTCCTCAATGTAAGGCTTAGTAAAAGCAAAGGACCACGAAATCTGATCTGGAAAGAATTCTTTAAGTATCAAACAAGTGCATCAAGAAGAGGCTTCTTCGTTTTACAAGTTCACAAAACAGCTGAACAGATAAATTTAAATTTATATATTCTATTGCATAAGAATCAGGAATCTCTAGATAGGTTAAGAAATTATGAATATGTTTCAAAACCTGCTATCAGCATAGCTGCATAATAATCAAGGTCATTCACGATGAAGTTAATAAAACTGTTTCGTTTTCGTCTTTTTACAGACTAACCAACACAGCACATTTTGCCCAATACTCATCATCAGTGTATCACTAGGACTTACAATCTACAGATAAATGTTTAAAACAGGAATTAAAAACCTCTATACAGAAAAATAAGAAATAAGCTCTTTAAAGTCCACGTCTATAATTAAGAAAACAACATGATACAGTTACTTGTTTTACTTCTGACATAAGACCACAAAAATATTCTTACACGATCTCAGTGAAGATACCCACAAAAACTCTTAGTTAACTGAGGATCAAAATTAGAAGAACTCTATGACAAACATTTTGATTTCAAACTTCCATCTCTGGGTTGGATGTCCACTTGACCTTCTTCATCACGTTAAAGTCTGATATTTTGGCCCATTTAACAGAAAACTATCAGTCTACAGCTGTGATAAAGCAAGTAACACTATTATATAAAATACACGATTTGGACACATATCTTAGTTATTATGCAGTCTAATACACTGGAGTGTTTTGTTTTGTTGTTTAAATCAGTAGTATTTATTTTAGCCATAAAAGCCATCTCATGAGTCCTCAAACCTCTAAGCAAAAATATCGAAGGGGGCATTCACTCCAAACACCCATTCAGTTCCTTTGCCAGAGGCGATGCAAACGTTGTTAGACTCTGTATTAGCAGGGCAGAAGCATATGCCACAGAACATATATTCAGACTAGAAAAATTATGTAGAGTCACTACAGAAAAATTATTTCATTTTCTTCATTCATTTATCTGTCCACATTTCACTGAAGTCAGCTTCACAAGTCATCTAGATCAGAAAAACCTAACAGGCCTGCATATTATCCACTCTTGCCCATTTGGCATAACAGCTTCCGGTAACATCAGGCAGCTGATACAAAACCTCCTGCTCTTGCAAGCTGCCACTTAACCACAAAGTGATTGCTGTTGTGTGGCTCCACAGCGTTTACATTTATTTGAAGCACTTAATCGCCATGTTTGAAGTGGTCATCAAGACAGCTAGCATCACCTTTCATAAACAAACAATATTTTCATAAACAAACAATATTTAAACCAGAGTACACAATATCACATATCCTAACTTATATTTTCTCAGTCTGAAGCTTGATAAATATGGGACCAAACCTAGTAGTCAGTGTACAGTCAATGTGGAATTTCTTGGCTTAAGGGCTATGACACTTGTCATATACTGCAAAGATATTTTTACATAAATTCTTTGAACCAAGTACCTGCAGGTAGAGAGACAATAAATACCCCACGAACAACAATATTTTAGAGCTTAAAGCATACAGGGCAGCAGCCTCCAAACTTCATTGAACATGCAAGTAGGCTACAATTACTGTGGAAAAAATGACAAGACTTTGAGTCACTTCAGATACAACTAGTTGCTACAATAATGTTACTTACTGGACAGCATCAGATTTTTGTCCCTTTCCATAAATTCCACTGAATACCAGGTTATGTTTTTAAAGATTTAGCAATGAGAAGAACAGACGAGGTTTAAATTTTCTTTCAGTATTTTTGACAAAGGAAGAATAAGGAGAAAGAACAGCTATTTCAATAAGTCATGGGTGCAATACAGCAAGGAATATTTAAAAAGCTCGCTCTTGGAAATTATTGAGCTATTCTAATTACCTGGGAGACAACAGTATGCTTTAACTAACTTATAAGACTAACTTAAAAATTCTTATCTCTAAGATCCATATTATTTACTTAACACTAGACAGAACAAAATGAAACTCCATTTGACATGAAACATGCATTATAAACAATTCAGAGCAGAAAAGAGATTTCAGTTCAAGACAATTCAAGCTGAGTTGCAAGTAAAGCAACACATAGTATTAGTTTTACACTAATTTTTCAACGCAGTTTTTTTTTTTTTTTAAACTTACCAACTCTGTACTAGCCCAACTGAAGGCCTGTTAAGCAAGTTATCGGGCAACAAATTGACTTCTCTCATGGTGTTAGCTAGTCGCACAGGAAGTTCTTTACGCAGAAACATGTATGAAGTCTTCTCACATGCATTGTCACGACCTGTTAGAAGGAAGGAAAAAAAAACAGATGTCCATTGCAGCAGATCAAATTTTAGACTTCCCAGTGCTAGAAGATTAAAAATAAACAAATAAATCACTTGTAGAAATAAAAACAGTTTAAAAATAATTTCTTTCAGTACCCACCTTCACATCCCTCTCACTCTTAAGACACATACTATACTTCTACCTTCCTAGAGCTTAATCCTGTTTATCTGATATTCTTCATTTCACATCCTCTCATCCTACTATAAATAAAAACCCTATATATAAAAATCTCTCATCCTATACATAAGAATCATCAAATACCAAAGACTTGATATTAGCTGGAAATAAGACCCTAAAATACTAGCTTTTATAAGTATGATTCTTCTACTAAAGTGAGCTTTCAAAAAGTGCGTTGCGTTCCACATACATAATGGAGGGTAAGAAGTGAAAACAAAGGGACAAAACAGAATGGCAACAGCTGGCTGATGTTTCATGTCACAAGCTCTTCAAGCCTACTAAAGTACTCAAACATTTCAGCATCATCTGGAAAGACCAGCAAAGGTCATCATTCCTCCTAGGACTAGGCTACAAGATGTTCACTAGCCACCAGCAAGGAAAGTGCAGTGCTCATCACCGCATTCCAATTTGGAAAAGCTGTAGATCATCTTGGACTTGCACTTTTGAAATAGCACAATATTTGAAAAATAAGATATATATAAAAAAAAAAAGTCCTCAGATAGCAAGTAAAAGGGATCCAGCAAAACAACAATACTTTGCTGCAGACCTAGTTGGAACAGTGATTATCCTCTGCAGCCACCCTACACAAACCAGAAGACTGACATGACTAATGGCATTCTCAAGCTAAACTAGTTACTGGAATTACCTATAAAACTTCAAATACAAATATTTTAAAGTATTGGATGTTAAGACTCTTGCTCAAATAGTTCAGACAGAAGATCAGACTTGACCTGGCATACTTTTTTGTACTTTGCAGCGTTTCACAAGTGGAGGAACTTGCCACTGTAACAAATTTCTAAAGAGTCCAGGTAAATTAAAAAAAAAAATTTAAAAAATCTGTGTTTTACTTGTAACGAACAGTCAGTATTCTGCTGTCATCTAGAAAGACAGTAAATGTCTTTTGTGATGATATCCAGTATAACCACCTGGCAAAATTTGTGAGTGAAGGCGTAACACAACAGCTATAAATTATGTTCAAGCAAACCAGGAAGTGTTAAAAGCACTACTAGGCACATAATCACTGAGATCTGCAATTTGAAAGACTCAAGCACAATGCAACCAGCACAATCAAGGTGATACTTTTTAAGACAGTCCCATTATAATCAGCTGAACAGCAGAGTTTTCACCTTCTTTGCATAGGTAACACACACTGATGGATTAGTTCCCAAACCGTAACACAAGCTTGGGAGAATATGCAGGAAGGATCAGAGTTTCCCTTTTTTCTTGCTCATTTAGGTATCATCAAGCAGTGAATCATTACATTCTGTTAGTGTAATAAATTCTATTATTGTTCTTCCAGCAAACACTTGCACCTATTTTACTTCTTTGCATTTTCACATCTTCAATTACAAATACACACATCTTGTCAAAACTAGACATTAAAAACAAGACATTGCATTGTTGTTTTCTGTGAAGCACAGTAATGATTTCAGAGCTCAATCCTTCAATTAAATTAGATACCAACTCACCTACAACAGAGGACAGAGCCACTTGTTTGTTCTTAAGTCACTGCATATAGTAGGTCTTTAGGAAGACTATAGCTGGGCAGCAGGAAAGACTCTCCCACTAGCTCACCCTACAACTTGTGGGCTGGAAAAACTCTTGGGAACAAAGATGACAACTGCTTCTTCCCACGAGTGACTGAGAGCAAGTTTAGTTGTTTTATAGGCAATAAAAAGCAAAAGGAATGAAAGACAGCACAGACAGAGAATGAGGAAGCAGTGAACTAGAACGCACAGCCTGTGGAAGGGCACGGGGAACCTTCCCGGCCCAGTCCCCGGGTTTGCGCAAGGCAGACACAGAAGTTGCAGGACTGGAAAGCGGGACTGGCAGAACAGACCCACCTCCTCCCCTCCCATGAGCAAGGGCACATCTCTATTCAGTCTGTCTCACCCCAGCAGCTCTAAACTGTCTCTTTTTAAGGAGTTGCCTTGCTCTGATGGACAGCCATGTGTTAGGTACCGAGCCCTTTGGGGTCCCTTCACATGCTCGGTGCAGGAAAAGGAAAAGAAGTTCTGTTTCAAGCCTCCCTAACTTGAAGGCTTGCTTCACCATAACTTCAGTACATCTTTTTGGTTTGGGGCATACAGTCAGAATACCAGCTGCTTAGCTGTATGCAATTTATGTGATAGCCTCCACAGACTTGCTTTGGCTTCTAGTATAAGGTCAGCTATCTGCTTGCCAAACAGTGCGTGCATGGGAAAATTACTGTTCGCTAGGATCAGCAATAATTAGATCTCCTTTGGCTTTCGAAGCAAGAAGCACACTGTGTCCTAACAGTTGCTGCCTGGCTGCTGTTCCTCACAGCAACGCTTGTACAACCACATTCATCAAAATGAGAGACATCCTACTACGTATGAAAAATACAATCTGAGTCTATAAGTTAGATATTTTCTTAATATAATTTATCATACACAAGTAAGCTTAAGTTATAAAGATTTTTCAAGAAAGTGTTCTGATAAGCTGCAATACCACTTTTGCAGGTTTAGTCTACAGTCAAATATAATTTTTTTTTCATAGGTTGGCTTTACTTTTGCTTTATTTGTTACATCTTTTTTCAAAACTCACAGCATTCTTTCCTGATTTTGTTACCATTCCAGCTGGGTTAGTACACATTGCCAGAATCAGGCTTTTGTGCATAGACTAAAGCCACTTTAAATCTACCCTTTTCAGTTCAAGGGAATTTGGAAGTCCTTCTCTCCAGGTTAAAGTGAAAGTGAAACTTATGAATAGCATCTCCTCGATTTACACTGCAGCCCCCAAGAAGTTACTCAGTAATACAAATATGACTTGCTTACCTTTGTATGAATTCAAACGGAAGAAAGAATACAGTAATCCTGTGCCCTAGTGCAGAATACACTGCACTAGTGCACTGCCTTAGTGCAGGCATCAAGGACTCTGTTTAGCTTTACTTCCAGAAACAAGGGGTGCTCTGTCAGAGAGTTGTTTAAATACAGTGCACTAAAGACCTACGGTAGCAGCAGACTTCAAAGCAGAATGTAATGACATGGAAGTATAAGAATAACATGGCATTCTAACATACTAGGAGTACAGCCTTTGTTATAACCTGAAGCAATACATTGCAAATACAGCTTTATGCTGTCTTGTTAAATTACAGGAAATTTTCAACTCTGAGGAGTAACAATTTTTTGCCTATAAATCACTAAACTACAGGAATACTGTGAAAGAGGCTGGTCAGAAGATGCAATGCAAAGTTCACTGGCATAAAGAAAAAGCTTCACCTACCTATTTTATTTGTAAGTTTACTGTCTTTAGTAGTTCTACAGACATCAGTGCAACTACCGCTTAAATGCTGTACATAATGTTCTTCCAGCAATAGGATATAAACAGGAAAAACATTCAGGAATTAACAGCAAAAATAAATGTGAGGTCCACCTCAGAACAGCCATCCCGCTGTCAATAGCCAGCAGCAGACTCGGAGCACCAAGGTGGTGCAGTAGGCCCTCACTGTTCAACCAGTGACAAAACAGAACCTAGGGACAGAAAAGTTTCTAACGCTATCCATACAACACTCTCACCTTGATATTAAACATAATAAAATACTAGGCCTCTACTTTCACTTTTACAGTCCACTTCTCATTATTTAACTGTTAATGATTAGTTAGGGTTCTTTTTTGTCTTGCTTTCTTTACTAGTGCTTTCCATCTACATTTTTCTAAGTAAAATGAATATGTTCAAATTAAAAACAGCTAACCCACCACCAAAGACTTTTTCAAAGTTTTAGATTCAACTCTCCCTGAATGCTGGATGTGCTTCTATGAAAATATTACACCTTTAATAACTAAGGATTTCTGCATAACTTTTCTATTCATGCTGAGTTTGAGTTATTTGAATAAAGGCTAGGTTAACATTTCATCCTAAAAAGTCTTTCAATATGAATACATAATTGTTTTTTTAAATAAAGTCTGATCTGCTCAGGTAGCATAGCACTTACTTTCTACAGACTCAGTGCTGATATATCATGTACCTCTGCCTAGTCGTCAAATACTTAAATTTAGATTTCAAGCACTAGTAACAAATAAGCACAAAATTGTTCAACTTGTCATCTTAATGATTAAAAGTAAAGCATTAGAGAAGATTTTAAAGGAGGTGGGTTTGGTTTTTGGTTTTGGTTTTTTTTTTAAGATTTTAAAGCAGATAAAAGTTTTGGAACAAAATTTCAAGATATTAAAATCTTCTGGAAGTCTGAAGTTACAGAAGATATTAATTTCAAGAAAAACAGCTAAAAAATTATTTCCTTAAACTGGCAGCTGCATAGGTTGCCAACATCAGCACCTCATTTGTGGTTCAGCCCGCATGCTACGCTACACCCATGAAAAACATCAACTGAAGCAGGAGTTTGAAGTTCCCAGTGACATGTATCAGAGATTAGAAACACCAGACATGAGAGAATGCCCAAGAAACCACAGCGCTTCTTAGTCTTGGATCCTGTAAGCTCAGCAAAAATTCTGAACGCTGTCTCTTGAATTGACTGTTTCTAGCTACACATCTATTGGAAATGTTTCAGTAAGCTGTGTAACAGATCACCTTCCAACATCTTGCTACTGGTGAGAACACAGAACAACAGTCCAAGTCCTCAGATGCTTTCAAAAGCCAACAGAATTTCATGGTGTATTTTAGCTAGTCCTGAATATGTTAATGGCAAAAAACAAAAACTAAGGAAAACCACCACTCTTGGAAGTATACAAATCCATCAGGAATAACTGTTCTTGTCTCTAACTGATGAGCTACTAAAAATTTCAATTTCTGAGGT